CCCGGTGCATCCAAGGTTCCCGGCGAACGGGGCCCGACGGCATCCGATGAGGTTTGTGAGGCTAGCGCCGGGGGGTTTCAGTTGCTGATGGGTTTTAAAGCATACTTCCTGTGCAGGACGGTCCGGGTATGGATGCCGATTGCCCTCGTCCAGAGTTGCATGACCAGGTCCACAATGCAATGACAGTTGTCTGAGAGGGGGCTTCGTGGGTTTATAGTGGGGTTCTATCCTGTCCGCCGGCAGCAGGCTGTGGACCCGGATGAGCTGCAGGCCGTGATGGATGAATGGCGCCGGCTCGAGGAGCGGCACGCTGCAGGCGAAGTCGAAGTCTTCGAGCTCGAGAGTGACACCGAAAGCGACGTCGCTCAGGATAGCAATCAATCAAGCATAATTTGCGAGCTCGAGGCTAGGCCGAGGTGGGTTCAGTTGCCGATGGGTTCAACATACTTCCTGTGCAGGACGGTCCGGGTATGGACCCTCCTCCAGAGTTGTGTGGCCAGGCCCACAATTTGTCTGGGGGGGCTTGGGACCCGGATGAGCAGGCTGTGCTGGATGAATGGAACCGGCTATCGGAGCGAATAGCAGCGGGCGAGGTCTTCGAGTATATCCCTAGCGACAGCGACAGCGACGTCGCTCATGATCATCAAACTGACCAGGATAGCACGAGTGGTTTGCAAATCGATCAACTAGGACCGTAAAACTTTATATTGTTGTTTCGATCCAGGAGATCATCCAACATCGGGCACTGGACTCACGGTTGCATTGAAATCGCCCGGAACATGTGCTAAATCTCGTGAACAGTGACCTCGACGGATTTTGAGGAGGAGCGACGCAATCGACACGATGGGAGATTCAGGATTCAAGACCTGCCCGCCTCGCTTCTGAAGGACTGGAAAACAAGGGGGATGATCGTGTCCATCAGTTGTATGTATACAGCAGCTGCATTTCTGCACGCTAGGGACCCGATGCTTCCAGTGACTCGAGTGACTCCAGTGCTCAGGCGACCCGGATTTTGTTCATGTTCGTGGATTGATATACACACACACA